TCCGGGCAGCAGGTGCCCCAGGACGGCCGTGGGGCGCAGCTCCGCGAGCGCCCCCTGATGGGCGGAATCTGAACGGGACACCTCTGCGGTGGCACCTGCCGGGGGCAGCAGGGGGAGGAAATCTCCACCCGGCACCTGGGTCCGCATCTCTGGGAGCGGCCTGCGCTGGGGCGCGGACAGCTGTGGCTGTTGTAGATGGGCTCGGAGCGGCGCGGTGGGGTGCAGTAGCTGTAGGAACCCGAAGAGCCTGTTGATGGCAGGCAGCTGCTGTAGCGGGGCCCAAAGCGTCGTGGCGGGGAACAGCTGCGATATGAGGGCTCCAGCCGACGCGAAGGGAGGCATCTGCTGGTGCTCTGGGACCGACGCTGCCCTCCGAAGCTCCCGTAGCAGTCCTGGCCCTGCCACTGGGGCGCACACGAGCTAAAGGAAGCCCGGGACTGACGCTGGGAGGCGCAGCTGCTGTAGGAGGCCCCTGCTTGGAATTGGGGGGCGCAGCTGCTGTAGTAAGCCCCGGACTGGCGCTGGGGGCCGCAGCTGCTATAGGAGGCCCCTGCTTGGAATTGGGGGGCGCAGCTGCTGTAGGAGCCCTGGTACTGGCGCTGGGTGGAGAAGCTTCCCTGGGTCTGGGACACTGGGGGACATTCCACATAAGTAGTGACAGGCTGAGGGGCGAGAATGGGTACGTAGGTCTGGACCGGATATTTCACATAACAAGTTTCTGTGTAGCAAACTGGAGCACATTCTACGTAGGAAGTCTGAACAGGGTACGGGACTTCGTACTGCACGTAGGAAACCCCAGATTGGCATGGAGCCTGGCACTGGACGCAGGATACTTGAGTCTGGCAGGGAGCCTGACACGCTACCTGGGTGGTCTTGGACTCGCAGGGGGCCTGGCTCTTCACCTGGGTAGTTTTGGACTTGCTGGGAGCCTGGAATTTCACCTGGGTGGTCTTGGTTTTGCACGCAGTCTGGCCCTCCATCTGGGTAGTCTTCGTCTGGCAGGGAGTCTGGGAAGCTTGGACTTGGCATGGTGCAGGGCACTCCAAAATCTGCATCCCACAAGGGGCTGGGACTAGCACCTCGCCACTGGTGCCGGCAAGCTGGGCGGGTCCGAAGGAGGAACCCTTGACGCAGCACTGGGGGAGCGGCAGGCAATACTGAATCTGCTGCTGGTCACACATGGTCCTGATGCAGGCCGGTGAGTGGGACCTGAGTGGGGAGACCGGGTGGGCAGAGTGAGTGGTGTGAGGAGGAACCAGGAGTTAGGACAAGATGCCTTGCGTCCTCCCTGACCCTTCTTTCTCGGCCCTCAGTCTTCACCCAAGAATCTTTACTGACTTAACTGGACCCAGGATCAGGCACTACTGTTCACGAGACTGTGGGGCTGTGCACACTCGGACTAGATGCACCGTATGCAGAATCTCCACCTGAAGCGTGGGTTTGCCAGTGTGAACCACCAGGGAGCGCTGATGGCAAGCCCATACCGTACTCCCGCTCGCCAAACCCTGTCCAGGAAGGAGCGCCCCCTATAGGGAGTATCAACACTTTAACCCAAAGTGAGGCCTTGACACCCATGGGAGCCAAGTTCTCACACTGGCGGGCTGGCAGCATACATGTAAAAATGAACACGTGGGAACAAGCATTCAGGCAGTGCCTTTGCTCAAGTAATGTGAAAGCAGGCATTTAAGAGTATGGCATCAATATGCATCCATATTCCTACGAATGACTCTAGCTTCTCATTCTTTATGGCTGAATACTCAAGTGAAATAAATAAGACACACTGAATAGTTTCTCTGGTGTGAAAAACTAAAAGTGTAAATAAGATCCAAATTGTATAACTGGCAATGTGAAATAGTAAGAAAAGGGCTAAAGGTGTAGGGGAAGTGGAAAAGAAATAAAGAAATAAGGGAAAAGAAAAAATATGAGAAAACGGAAAAAATGGGAAAAAAAAGTCTTTGCAAATGGGGAGGGGGAGGGGTAAAGGGAGGGCGGGGCTATGGGGGGAAAATGAGAACCAAGATCTGTCATGTAAAGGTACAAGATCCCAATGATGAAAGTAACTGTACTGTATACTTAAAAAGTACCAATAAACTTAATGAAAGAATAAATAAAAGAAAACAGAATGTTCAAAAAAATAAATAAAAGAAAGGAAGAAAGCATTCAGTGGACAGTAAGGAGCCCAGTCAGCCAGTCAGTTATTGGGCACCTCAAACCCAGCGTTAAAGATTTTTTTTCTCTATATTCAGTCTATCTTATGTGAATCCACATACACAGGCCCTTGTGGATGTGTACAAAGGCACACACATACAAAACAGGCCAGCTTTGGATAGGCCCGGGGTCAGCATGGCCACTTTCGCAGGCAGGTTGCTGTTATTAACCACCTGAATGTGGCAATCAGCTGGCTTCAAAACTGTTTCCTCCCTAACCCCTCTGAAAGGCAGGACAGAGACAGAATTACCTAAAATGGAGTAACCCAGAACGTACAGAAAGTAGAAGGCCTTTTCTTTCTTTTTGTTACCTCCTTTCTTTTTCTGTGTGTGTGTGTGTGTGTGTGTGTGTGTGTGTGTGTGTGTGTTTCAAGACAGTCTTACTCTGCAGTTAGATAGCCCAGGCTGGCCTTGAACTCACAATCTCTGAGTGTTGGGATTACAGGTATGTACCACCACGCCCAATTTAAGTGCAAGATTCTTAATCACAAGGCTAATGTTGAGCCACTCTTAAAGATCTACCCAGCAGGAACATGATAAACAGGACCTGAGGCATGTGCATTCTCCAGGGCCGCACTTAGGCAGAAGGCAGGGCAGCCCCCACTCCTCTGCTCGCCCCAGATCCACCTGCTGGTGGTGTTCAAGCGGCCCAGTGACGGGCACAGCAGGGAACTGGTAGACAATGCTCATCCAACAAAACACCTCTCCATGACTTCCCAAAGCACTGGAAATTCTTGTAATGAAGAACAAAACTACATAGTTTCCATTTGTCTGCATACGTGTTTCCTTCCTCCCACAACACTGCTTATAAAATATGAATTATTAATGTGCCTTTTCTAGCAAGAGCAGGTCCTGAAGAGGTAAAATGGCTCCTGAGGATGAAGCCAAGGTTATCAGAGACAAACACACTGACTCCACAGATAAACTCTATGAAATTTCATCTTCTATTCCCCCCAAAGTTATCAGATGTTCATCTCAGGCTGATGTGCATTTCCTCTACTCCGAGCTTGCTCTTCCACCACCCCTCAATTCTATGAATCTGCCAAACATCACCCCCACCACAATCCCAGGACTCAGCTTCAAGACTCACCCTCCTGGTCAGGCACGAAGTCATTCAGGCAAAGGCCCTGGGCAGAGGCCGTCTTTATATAAAGTATCCTGGGTCCGGCCTGGCCGTGAGACAGCTGGTTGGCATCTGCTTGGCTCATGGCCCATGCTGACATTCCAGAAGCTGGTTCCCTCCCTGTGTATCTGCCGTCCTTGCAGTCACCTACAGAGTTGGGAGTGTCTGCCTCAGTGTCAAAGCTTCCAGACTATGAAGGACCAGATTCCTGCTTTCCCCTCCTTCTGCACCCCATCTGCCTCTTCTCTGTCCCTAGATCTGGTGGTGCGGGCAATAAGAAGTGTCAAAGATATCTTCTCTCCTGAAAGGTGACTCTGTCCCCTACCTTCCTTCTTGCCTTGGGATCTCACCAGAGAGAAGTAAAAGGGGAAATATTCCTTAACTTAATGCACTTAAAACTGCCTCCAAGACAGGCAGCTCTTATGCAATGGAGAGAACCTGGAGTCCAAGCTGAGTCTAACAGCCCAGGTTGGCTACTTACAGCTGTGTGACTTCTCTAACCAATCTGAGATTCACTTCCTCTTCCAGAAAATAGATAAAACTGAATGCCCTTTTCCAGCTGGTGTGAAAAGTAAGGCAATTGTTTTATATAAAATCATCTAGCCAAGAAGGATATCCAAAGTATTTTCCATATACTCTGAGTAACTGCCGACTGTGAACAAGAGACACAGCTGGATCGGCGGGACCCCTGCTACATCCCACTCCAGAGCTGATCAACATCGGGTGCTCACTAACGTGACAGAGCGGTCTCCACAGGCAGCACATGTCAGCTAGGGCACAGGAGCAGATGTAATGAACTGGTACCTGGGGAGCGAGGTCCAGGCGGTGGATATCATCTCTGCCTGCAGAATATTATATTAATCATTCATGCAGAAACAGAGAGATTTTACTTCACCTTCCAGACATATGGCTTTTCTCCTAAAATCCAAAGTTCTTGCCAAGGTGAACCAGCTTCCTATTGACCCAGTTGGGAGAGGGAACTTTTCCATTCTTCCAAGTTCCACCGTTCTCTCTGCTATAACTGCCATGCATTTCAAAGCACGAGTTTAATTGTATTTTTTTACTTGTACTCTGGATTTTCTTTGGAAAAGTTGAAAAGACAGGTTTTAATAATAAGTCTTAAATAATAACTGTCATTTCATTAGTAAATGCAGTACATGATGTTTATGTTAATCTTAGGTGCATGTATTCAACAAATTTTAATTCTTTTTATGTCCCTTCCACTGCTACCCTCCTGTTTCCCTCCATCTAAATTCCTTCCCCCCATTTTCTTCTTTTCTTTTTTCACTTGCAGCACATAATGGTTATATTCTTTGGTACATCTACGTGACACATCTTAAATCCACTTAAAATCATAAATGAATAATTGTAGTTTTTAGTATCAATAATCCCGCTTGGATCGTTTCACTCATCTGTTATCCTCCAGCCATTGTAGGGATTTTGATTCTGACCAAGGTTGAGAGCCAGGATTTTAGATTCAGACAGATGCGGGGCTCTAGTACTTAGTAATGGGATGAAAGCTACCTCGTTTCTCTGAGCCTCGGAGTCATTATTTATCAAGTGGGGAAGGGGGGGGCATCATGGTAAAGATGGGGGAGGCAAAATTAGAAAGTCATAGGAGTACTGTGTGATTTAAATAATAAAACTTGTATAAAGCACTTAGCCGGCCATTTGGCTCTCTTGACTTCAGTGTCCTCATCCAAAGATGGAAGTGACATACTTCAAGTTTTCAGGATGATAAAATCAGATGATGAGTATGTCTGTGAATTCCGTCCCATGGGGAAGCTGGCCCGGTCCAACTTGACATCAGAGTCTATCACTCATAAGTACCATTCCAGACCTAGGTAGTAGGGTCATAGACTTTCAAGGCATCATAGCAACCGGAATTCCCAGAAATTCCTGGTCCTACCCTGTCATTCAAAAGGTGAGGGACCTAAAGCCCAGACAGGTGAACTCTTCTTAGAACCTAAAGCTAACAACTGCCTTGAAGGGACTAAATCCAAGGTCAACCTACTCTCAGGACAGTTCCCTTGCCACTGTGGGTCTTTTCTTGGATCACACACGTAGGACAAGGTGCCCTGAACTTGGACAGGTTGGGGTTTGATGTTCACCGAGAAGGTAATCTGACAAGCGGTGAACAAAGAATGCTGAGAATGGAGAACAAGTGGCCCCGTCAGAATATGAATATTCAATCCTAACTGGTGTCTGTCCCGCTCATTGTTCTGGATGCACCATGTACTTTTGGAAGGGAGAATACTTATCCTATTCATCTTTGTATCTCTACATGCTGACATCCTATGGGTGACTGAAAGGTGAGTGGAAGGCTGGCTGTGATTTCAGATTTTTTTCCTTTTGGCTCAGCCAACTGAATGAGGACAAAAGTAAGCTATTATCTCCCCCTGAAAACTCCCTGCACCGGAAGTCCAGTATTGCACAATAGAAGCCAGCCTTGATTCTTCTCCCAGGTTACCCCAACACAGGGCCCGCACACACTTTTCATTCCCATCCACGGTTCCTCTCCAGTATTCCTCTAATGTCCATCCCACCCTTGCAGATGTATCCCAGGCCTTGACAGTCTCCTACGTGGCACAGTTGTCTTCTCAGTGCTTTTTTCTGTTTCCAGCAATTCTCCCATTCAGCGTCCAAGTAGCCACAAGAATAATTGACCTAATAAAGTAAAATAATATAAATAAAGTTAATGATGCTATTTTTTAAACTTTTCAGTTTATACTGAAAAATATTCAAACTAGGTACACAAATCTCTTCAAAGCAGGTTCCCTTCTGTCCTTCCTGGCGTATGTCCCTCTTATCCTCCCTCCGTTCCCACTCAAGGTCAGAGGAAGCCAGGCAGAGTGGTTTGTACACCCTACACCTGCCTTGGTGTTTCAAGATCACAAATGCTGTGCCCTCCTCCTAAGACGTCCTGTCCTCTCTTCTTCATGTGAGATCCATTGCTCATTGTTTGAGACAACCCCAAAGTCACATCCTCTGTGTGTTCCTGGACTCTGAAATCCGTGATTCACTCTGCTCTGTAAGCACTTCAGACACGCCCACCATTAAAGTTATTATGTGTTCAGACTGTTTGCATTCCTGTCTTCCACTCTAACTGCAAGTTTCATGGAGAAAAACAAGGCGTGGTTTATTAAACTTTAAATCTCAGAAACAGACACTGTGCCGGTGGGTGGGGCTTGTTTCGCCTTTTTCATTAGATCCGTTCATTTCACTTCCATAATTGTACACATAGCCATACCTAGACATACACATTTGTCCATCTGCATGTAGCAGATAAACATGGTGTATGTTTCTTTTACATTGCAGTTAATGGACGGATTTGTTTCACTATATTCTGGCATATAATAAATAGATGTATGATAATATATGAAGACTGTCAAAAGCAATAGTAGTGGCAAAGAGATGAAAGATGAGATAGATTACAGAGAGATGGATGATAGAAAGATAGATAGATAGACAAGTAGTAATTAGAGATAGTAATTATAAAATGAAGCATTCATGTCTAGATACATAAATCTAAGCATAAATGATAGCCTTAAGGTGATTTATAAAATTGATATAAACTGTAAAAGAAGGGTTTCATATAAGGATCTTTGTTAAAATTATAAAACTCCAGGTAGATATAAAATGTAGAATAAGAGCCCTAACTCAAGTTACGGACTTAAAAAATGCAGAAGTGTAAATGCTACAAGGGGAGAAAGAAAGGATCGTTTATGAGAAGAGGCCTTGGTGCAGGTGCCTTCATAATAAAAAGGATGGAGGCAATGTGAGAAACAAACAGAAATCTGCAGGTAATTCATGGGGGACTTGGTACATCACTGTCCTTTGGCTATGGATTAAGTTAATGCATGTTAGCTCTCAAAATCTTTAACACAGCCCTGTGTAGTACAAACCACTATCATTATTTTATATAGAGGGTCAAAAACAAAATAATTTGTTGCAGCAGATAAGCCTGACATGGAAGAAGCAAGATTCATCGCCAGCTTGGCTGGGTGACGAGAGCTGTGGAAGTAGATTTGCAACGATGTGAAGTTACTCCAAGTTAGAAATACATAGAAATGTACTCTGTGTTCAGCTGCTGGCCCTTTTCAGAGTTACAGGACTCTGGGTTGTTAGATCCTAAAGGAGTTGAGTGACGTCTTGCTGATGCCATGCTCCTGAGAGCTGGGAGACAAATACATGTGGTACAAAAGATGTATATGGTTTCAGCAGATTCAAAAAGACTATTCCCTCTTTGTATCAGTGAAGTCTTCTTCCCATTTTAGCCTCCCTTCCATGATGATAATAGCTAGAGGTATCGAGACTCATCCTTGAAAATCAAGGTTCTATTTGTCATGTGAGACATCTTTCAATCCTTCTGTGTAATCCTAGGGTCTTGAGATCTCCAGCTTCAAGCACTGAAAAAGTCAGTGTTTATGCTGGAATAGGGGTGCCATGGGGTTTTCTTCCCTTGCTCAGCTTTAATGAATTAGATGAATATTCAAACCACAGACTTCCTACCTCACCCTTAGGGTAAAGTTTAAAAAAACATTGTATCTCAGTTCTTTGCCATTTGGCTAAGAAATTGAACAAAGGACCACAAAAGCCTGGGTCGAGGAGAATAAACAAAAAGCAACAGCCAACATTGCAGAAGGAGCAGCTTAATTCTAACTGCAGCCCCCAGTAACAAAGGGTTTAAAAGACAGAACAGAAAGCACGATAAAGGTTATTACAGAACACTACATGGCTATTTAGGGAGGGTGTGGAGACGTAGAGGAGGCTGGGGTCAGGAGCTATAATTAGCAATGAATAGAAACAAAAATATCAGTGCAGCAAAAAGAAGAAAAACTATGTTTAACTTTTTACATTTTGCAAATGTAAAATGTTGCTTCATTAAATATATGTGTGTATCTCTCTCTCTCTCTCTCTCTCTCTCTCTCTCTCTCTCTATATA